TTCCATACCACTACATGCAACCCACCACTGAGTGGATTTTGTAAAGGAAGATGAAGGAGAGGGCGAGGTGATAGCAGGCATTCTGGAGCTTTTGTGTACCTCTAGCCCTAGGGAGGCAAGAGACAGTTTCTCTGGGCCAGGTGTCATCAGCCACCAGCCCCAGCATTGTGCACAGACAGCATGACTGCAGAGTGCGAGGCATTCCCCCAAGGCATGACCACAGCTCTGGCTCTGTGGAGCTTGACCAAGGATCACTCACCCAGACTTCTCTGGCACCATGCTTACGTGCCTCAGATGCCCATACAGCCCCTTACACAGGGCCACGCACGTGGCCACTTGTCTGTACAACTCCCTTGGCAGTTAAGCATGCCTTCTGCTGTGTTTTATTACAATGTTTCTTTTGAAGGACAAAAGAGCAAGTCCCTTCTTTTGAGTATCCCTGTACTTATTATTGTCTTCCTGGGAGTTACTATGTCTCTTTTTCTATCTAGATTGTAAACATAAAGGAGTCCTTTTCCACATGTTGGCCAATTTCCCTCTAACACTGGGATTACTGAATAAAACTGAGGTCCTGTCCATTTCAATGCTAATTACCCTCTTAAGACTTCTAAATACCCCTGCCTCCGGAAATGTCCTCATAATCCCTGACATTACTCACCCCCCCCACCTCTCCCTCCTGTTAAAATTGTCTCTCTCCTATAACACATGGTTCAGATGCTCCCCACCCTCCTGAAACTTAGAGCCTCTGCCCTCTATGTTCTTACTGAATTAAGTCAGAGCTGTCATCGCATCTGGCCTTTAAGAAGTATTTGTTTAATTATGCTAAGTGCAATAAGCCAGACTCGGAGGGAAAATATTGTATGAGTCCACTTAAATAAATTATCTAGAATATGCAAATACATAGACTCAGAAGTAGAACAGAGGTTGCTGGGGCCTGGAGAGTGGGGAGGAATGGGGAGTTTTTGTTGAACGGGTATAGAGTTTATGTTGAGGATAATGAAAAAGTTTGAGGTATAGATACTGGTGAGGGTCACACAACATCATGAATGTATTTCATGCCACCGAATTGTATGCTTGAAAAAGGTTAAAATGATGAATATTATGCATATTTTACTATATGATAAAAACTAACTAAAAAACCAAGAAAGGTTACTTGTTTAGTAACTTTTTTTTAATAGATTGCAAGCTTGTGGGGTAGAGGAGAAAACATGACTTTTTCCATCTTCACCAGCCCAGTTCTTTGCATGAGATAATCGCTCATTTTTGCTTCAATTCAGGAACACAAGTCAATGGAAAGAAGTACAGAATTCAGGCACGGTTTCCCCATGCCTCTTAGCAATTTTTAAAATTTCAATTTATTGTCAAATTGATTTTATCAGAGAGAAAACTGTGTAGTTGGAATTGTTTGATGGTATTGTCTCAGAAAGAAAACGAAAAACATGAAATTAAAAATCATCCCAAACTGCCTTCTATTTTCTTAGTATTTCCTTTTATAGCAAGGGGAGCATTTTAGCAAACTCAATTTGAATAATAATAACTTTCCTTTACACAACACTTACCAGTTCTTTCTGGGAGCTTTCTTAACCCTTACACCATTTGCAGTCACCTCTTGTACTGTGTTACTAAACACATGTTTCTCCTGCTCCTCTGTTTCTGGATTCTTTGTTGCATAAGATGAAAGGTGTACATTAAACCTTCCTCTTAGATATTTCAGTTCATGTAATCCTTTTACTCTGCTGATCTGAAATGATAAGTTACACAATCATTTATAAGTCTTATAAGTTAGTCTTACAAGACTAGAAAGAAGCATACAGTTCTTGATACCAGCTCTCATCCAAGATTAGGGTGGAGATATCAAGAGAAAAGTGAAATGATTACATGAAGGGGTAGGTGGACACTGACGAAGTGTTGGGTTACAGGGCTTTTGTGATATTTTTAATTTTGGAAAATTGATAGTTTTCATATTCTGTCCATAAACTATCACCAGAGGCTAATTCCTACAGATGATTTTTATGGAGAAGAAACTATAAATTAATTTGGAGATACTTTCTTATGGAAAACAATTGTGGACAGGTTTCTAAGATGCCTGCCATTTGCTTCAAAGTTATACAGAGAGGGGAGGTAGGAGGGAGGGTATAAATAAAACATGCTTGGCCACCAACAGATAATTGTTGAAATAAAGTGTTGGGTACATAGGTGGTTTTATTACAGTATTTCCACTGTTCAAATTTGAGGTTTGCCAAAGTAAAAAATTAAGGGAAAAAAGAAAATAGATTCTGAAATGAGGTAGTCAATGGTCCATCATTCCTTAAGCCTGCTCAGTTAATTCTTTTAATGAAGGTATTTGAAAATGAGGGACTTTTAGTTGGCTCAAGGCAGTATCAAGATAATATCTTGAAAGTTTATTATCAATCTGTGTTTGAAATCCTGAGTCAGACTTTTGCATGTCTTAAATAAGGGACATACTGACATGCCCCCCCACCAAATATATACACATATAAGTATGCTTGTAAAAATAAACAAAAGTGATTTTAACCTGGTTTGAGAATTTCTGACATCTACTGGCAGTACAGACATACCTTAGGTGTCTCTGGTTTAATGACTCCAGGTGAGAAGCCTCCACGAGATTTGGAACTTTTGACTGGTCCCTGTTAATGTGGTGACCATGCGTCTTTGCTCCCTGTGTTCGGTGTGTTCATTGGCAAAGTGATGCATGCAACAGAGTGCATGGCACCGGGCCAAGAGGCTGGCTACTTGCCACACTTTGCAGTACTTGTCCCGACACATGGCTTGTTGCTGGTTATAAAGGGTTCTGCCTGGAGCCCTCCTTTGTTCCTTTCAGGGCCCTAATAGGAAGCAACTCTGCTTCCTGCTTTCAGTGGACACAGCTCAGGTGTGATTTTTTTTGTTCTTTCCTTTCCCTTGGGTGAAGCCTTCTCTCTAGCTCAGATCTAGCGGAGTCAAGGGCAGCAGTACAGGGGAGAAGAGCTAGTTCACGGCCAATTACAAGCAGTGAAGTACGTGAAGGAGGGAAGGGTGAAATAAGAACATTTGCCTCTTTGCTCAGCATTGCTAGGGATCATAATTTTTCTTTTTGTGACTTTGGGCCCCCGCTTGCCCGCCACCATGGCCAGACAGTTGAGAGGCCTCTGGTAGGCCACAGGCAAAACCTGAGGAGTCCTGGATGGTTTTCCTTGCCATATGATGTGCATTTCAGGAGGCTCCAAGGGGGAGAAATGAATTGTCCAGTTCGTGCCTTGTTGTGCTTTGCATCCCAGCCCCCAGCATGGTTCCTGGAACAAAGGAAATAGCAATCAGCACAGAAATGCAAGCATTTACAGCAGAATTCCCATCCCTGTGAGACCAGCTTAGGTTCATCTTCGGGTGTGTTCCCCCTGCAGGTCGGGGAGAACTTTGGGGGTCCTTCACCTCTGAGAGGTAGGGATGCGAGGCCCTCATCTGAAATGGCAAGCATTTAAAAGTGTTTCAGAAGTATAAGTAACCCCACAACTGGGTGATGGTGGCCTCTAGGGAGAGCCCTTCCTACTGTCCAAGAACATGCTGGCCACCACTTCACAGTTTGCAGTCCTTGAAATCGGGATGCACATCTCCATCACCGAGGAAGTGTGCCCAGGTCACTGAGTGGCCATCATGTGCCAGGCCCTGTGTCCCCAAGAGATGCGGCTGTGGCAGAGACAGACATGGCCCTTACTGCCACAGGGCTGGGGTGCTGGGGAGGTGGCGTCACAATGTACGTTCCTGAGGAGGTGTTCAACTGCAAGAAGCACCGTGAGGGAGGTGAAGAGGGCGCTGGGCTGAGCCCGTGGTCAGGGGAGGTTCTTGGAAGTGATGCTGGAGCGGAACACCTGAGGAGAGGGAAGGAACTAACCAGGTGCAGATGGAGGACAAGTGGTCCAGGGAAGGAGGAGCATCTGCACAAGCCCTTAGGCTGGAGGGAGCTTCGGGAGAGGGAAGAAGCAGAGTCCATGTGGCTGCTGTGCAGGCAAGAGCAAGGGGTGGACATGAGGCTGAGGTCAGCAGCACCAGGGCACAGGGCCACACAGTCAAACCTCACTCACAGTTGCTCAAGCAGTGTACGTAATAGCTGCCAGAATGCATCTTAAATAATCACCCCAAACACTTTGAAATCTATACTGCAGTGAATGTATAATCAGGAAAAAACATTTTGTTTCTGACCTTGTTTGCTCACTTACTATAGGGATGGGAGTTTTCAGGAAAAGTGGAAGAAGCATTAGGGGGTGAGTGTGGCAGGAAAGAAACAGTGAAAGTTAATATTGTAATTTCTGAAGACCATGGAAATCATTGTCTCCTGAGACTCTTACTTGGGACCTGTGAGGGGTAGAGGGGTCATCAATGCAGTCATACATGAATATTCACATTGAATCTCCTTACTGATTAGTTCAGGATTAACCTCCATTTCCCCCATGATCAAGGGATATAGTGTCATACATACAACTGACAGAATCACAGCATTTAAGCTTAGATTTCAAAACTGCTCATGACTATTTTTGAGAGGATGGATCCTTGTGTTTTTTAAAAGCAATCCGATACAGATTGATTTTTTTTTTTTTACCCAGGAGCTTTAATCTTCAGTTACTTCTTACATGTAAACACCATGCTGGATATCTAATTTGGATTTCAAGGAGTAAATGTTCTTTTAATTTTAAGAAATTACTATAAGCAGTCTTTACATTCTTGTGGATAAAAAGATGATGTCTCTCGACCTCTAATATTTGCTAACCTTAAAGGAAAGGCAGGGCTCCTGAATCAGTCATCCAGATCCTGCCAGTGAGGTGACGAATAAATTTGAGGAAGGGAAGTGGATAAACTATTGACTCATTCCCCCCTAGCCCCACCCTCCCGCCTCCCTTCCCTGCCCTGTGTACTCTTAGTCTGAATGTTGTTCTGTTTAGAGGTTTCCACTTGATGGCCAATCTCAGTTGTTTACAGCTTTCCCTCTTCTGTCCTCCTGCCTCTAGGTTATTAGGTTCCTACAAGCTATTTGGGGCCCCGAGCAAGATTTCAGGCTAATCATGGTGGTGATGAGTAGCCTGAGGGCCATTCTTCAAGCCTCTCCATGCAGGTCACTTTGGAGAAGATTCCAGATCCCCACGTTCATGCCAGCAAGGCCCTGCAGCCTCTACACCTGCACATACAAAACCCGGAACCGAGCCTGTGAGTACACTGCTCCTTTAAAGAGAGTGAGAGGTTGGGGGTGCATGACAGTCACGTGTCTTGTGTTTATCCATATAGTGTCAGTGGTATTCCAGAGTGGGATTGTGTGCCTTCGGAACCATGAGAATAATTACTTGCTTCTCTATTTGTCTTCTAACATAAACGTGGAAAATTCTTTTCCCCCCAAGTTTATTGGCATATAATTGACACATAATCTCGTGTGATTCGAAGGTATGCAATGTGCTGATTTGATACACATATATTGCAAAATGATTATCATAAAAAGGTTTGGAAAGTCGTTTTCTTGACAAGGTTTAACATGTGAAAATGATGTCATGCAGAAATAGGGTGAGACGTATTCCAGTTTCAAATAGCTTGGAACCTGTTCTGTATTGTTCTTGTTAGCAACAGTCTTCTTACAAACATTGATCCACAGACTGCGAATTATTTCTGAGTCTTTTTTTTTTAAGATTTTATTTATTCATTCATGAGAGACACGCAGAGAGAGAGAGAGGCAGAGACACAGGCAGAGGGAGAAGCAGGCTCCATGCAGGGAGCCCGATGTGGGACTTGATCCCGGGTCTCCAGGATCACGCCCTGGGCTGAAGGCAGCGCTAAACTGCTGAGCCATTTGGGCTGCCCTATTTTGGAGAGTCTTAACGTTCTGAAAGTTGCATGTTAATGTTTGTAAGCAGGTCAGTAGCTTCACAATCTGAAATATTCTTTCTCAACTCACAAATTGCAGAGTTCTTCTGGTTGACCAGCTTACCAAAATGGGCTCTGGCATAAACACAGCATATTGGGCAGCCCGGGTGGCTTAGCGGTTTAGCGCTGCCTTTGGCCTGGGGCGTGATCCTGGAGACCCAGGATCAAGTCCCACCTTGGGCTCCCTTCATGGAGCCTGCTTCTCACTCTGCCTGTGTCTCTTCCTCCCTCTCTCTCTCTCTCTGTATAAATAAATAAAATCTTAAAAAAACACCCACAGCATATTAATCAAGGCAGCAGATGGTCTTTCCTGAAACCTCTTGCATCTCATCCCCCTCCTGAAATACCGGTTTCCTGCTGTGTCCCTGTGGTGCAGGGATTGTCCACCGAGGCACTACTGACATGGGGGATAGGTCATTCTGTGTTGTTGTGGGTGCAGTGTGCACTGTAGGTTGATTAGCAGCATCCCTCCCCAGTACCTGCTAGGTGACGGTTGCACCCCCCACCCAGTTGTAACAACCAAAAATGTCAGCAGACATTACCAAATGAGCTCTGGGGAGGACAAAACTGCCCCTACTTAAGAATCAGTGGGACAATAGGAGAGAATAATGTGTTCATTTGTGGAGAGATGAGTTTGAATATGTGGAGAATGGCTAATATATTGTTAAAGAGGAATTTTTCATATTTTCCATTATTTTAAAAGAATTGACACAGATTTTTCAAATGTTGGATTCCTTCTAGGTCTAGGTTTCTCCACTTTTTCTCTTTTGGTTTGTTCTCTTTTGACTTCATATGTACATAATCAAAAAATGTAAGGAAGAATGCTGTTAAATTACTTTTTTAAAGATTTTATTTATTTATTCATGAGAGACACACACAGAGGCAGAGACATAGGCAGAGGGAGAAGCAGGCTCCATGCAGGGAGCCCGATGCGGGACTCCATCCTGGGACTCCAGGTTCATGCCCGGAGCCAAAGGCAAACACTCAACTGCTGAGCTACCCAGGCATCTCAAGAAATGCTGTTAAATTAGTAGTGCTAATCTAGCTAAATCCAAGGACTTGAAACTCCTCCATAAATAAATTTTTATTATAAATTTACTTGGTTTTGTTCAACAATGACAGTGTTCTTATTCAAATGAACTGGTTGGAGTCATAATAAATTTCTGGTTGCTGGGTGTGGCTTCCTACCAACAGACCCACATCCTACCCGGACTGGCTTATTCTCAACACTGGCATTTTGTGGTCTGAGGCTCAAAATGGAAAAAATTAGTCATGTTTATGTAGTTACTAAAGTTTTACTTTTTTCAACAGAGAGTTGAAAGTTGAAGGTCTAAAATCCAAGATAGGTATGTCTTTAGGATAGTTTGCTTCTTTTGATGCTGACTAAAACAAAAAGTGGTGGCTTGGGGAGATGTGGACTTTCCTTAATTAATTTTTCACATCAGATGTTCTGGTTTGTAAGTTATAAGAAAAACAGGTAACAATTATAATTTTATTTTGCTTTTGGCATATAACACCAACCTTCCCTGTTTTCACTGGAGAGAATATTATAGTCTCTGCTGCCCTGACCCACTGAGCATGTCCTGCTCCTAAATTCCAGACCTTCTGCTGATCAGTTGTAAAGACAATATGCATCATGTCTGGCAACTTAACACCCCACCAGAAGGCCCACTGCACACTTGTGACCAAGAACAACCCAAGATCATTGAGGGTTAGAAAAGATAACATGGAAAGCCCTTTGCTAGTACCTGCCACACAGTGTGAGGACTGTGTTGGCAGGTTACTTCTAGTACTATTGATGATCATCATCACCACCTTTTTTTTTTTTAAAGACTATTCATGAGAGACACAGAGAGAGAGAGAAGCAGAAACACAGGCAGAGGGAGAAGCAGGCTCCATGCAGGGAGCCGAACGTGGGTGGGACTCAATCCCTGGTCTCCAGGATCAGGTCCTGGGCTGTAGGTGGTGCTAAACCGCTGAGCACCGCACACACCCCCCCCCCCCCCCCCCCCGACTGCCCTCATCATCACCATCTTTATCATCATCATAGGCTCAGCGCCTCCCTCAGATGTTTGGCCATTTTTAAGATAGGGGTAAGCAGAATAAGAAAGGAGGAGGATGTGGCAAATTCAGAAAGCAGTGTCTCGCTAGAGCCTGTCTGTGCTCTATGCTTCACCTTCACACTCTGCTCCCCACCTCTCAGGGAATCGTTGTCTGTCAACTCAGATTGCTGTTTGCTGTTATCTCAAGTAGCAGGCAGTGTTGACAATCCTAACTTGAGGATTTGGAACATGATAAAATAAAGAGAAAAGCCTGCACCTGTTACCCAAGATGAACATAAAATCAAATTCACTTAGTATATCTTCTACTGACATTTATTTTAATTGTCACATGAAAAATTTAGGGTTATAGTAGATTAGGAAACAAAGCCGAACAGTCAACAATAAGAAAATCTAATTTAAAAACCTAATTAAAAAATGGATTAGAGACCTTATAAACACACACCTCACCAAATATATAGAGATGGCAAATAAGAGTATAAAAAGATGCCCCACTGTGTGATCTGTGACCAGGGAAATGCAAATTAAACCCAAGATGATAGGGGCACCTGGGTGGCTCAGTGGTTGCACATCTGCCTTTGGCTCAGATCGTGATCCCGGATCCTGAGATTGAGTCCCACGTCAGGATCCCCGTAGGGAGCCTGCTTGTCCCTCTGCCAGTATCTCTAAAGAATAAATAAAATCTTAAAAAAAAAATCACCACACACCGATTACAATGGCCAAAATCCAGAATAGTGATAACACCAAGTGGTTATGAAGCTGTGGAGCAACAGGAATTCTTAATCATTGCTGGTGAAAATACAAAGAAGGTACAGCCATTTTGGAAGATAACTTGGCAGTTTCTTTTTTTTTAATTTTTTTAAAAATTTATTTATGATAGTCACACACAGAGAGAGAGAAAGGCAGAGACATAGGCAGAGACATAGGCAGAGGGAGAAGCAGGCTCCATGCACCGGGAGCCCGACGTGGGATTCGATCCCGGGTCTCCAGGATCGCGCCCTGGGCCAAAGGCAGGCGCCAAACTGCTGCGCCACCCAGGGATCCCAGCAGTTTCTTTTAAATGAAATATGTCCTTGCCATACAAGCCAGCAATCATATTCCTTGTTATTTGTTCAGCATTGTTGAATCCTTACATCTACACAAAAACCTGCACATGGCTGCTTTTCGTAGCTTTATTCATAATTGCCAAAACTTGGAAGCAGCCAAGTTGTCCTTCAGTAGGATGAATGAATACCTTAACTGTGGCATAGCCAGACAATGGGATTTTGTTCCTCGCTGAAAAGAAATGTAAGAATTTTAAATGCAAATTACTAAGTGAAAGAAGTCAATCTGAAAAGGTTATATACTCTATGACCCCAAATGTATGACATTCTGGAAAAGGTAAAACTATGGCGACAATAAAAAGATCAATAGTTGCCATGTGTTAGAGTATAGGGAGGGATGAATAGGTGGAGCAGAGGATTTTAGGGTAGTAAAAATACTCTTTATATTATGATGGATACAGGTCAATATACATTTGTCCAAACCTGTGGAATATATAACTCCAAGAGTGAACCACAATGTAAACTATGGACTTTGGGTGTTATCATGTGTCACTATAGGTTCATGAATGATAACAAATGTACTACTCTGGTGGAGGATGTTGATAATGGGGATGCTGCATGTGTGGGGGCAAGGGCAAATGGGAAATCACTGTACCTTAAATAAATTAATGGAGAAATAGTCTTAAAAAATTAAACATGGGGGGTGCCAGGTGTCTCCATTGGTTAGGTGTCTACCTTCCGCTGGGGTCATGATCTCAGGGTCCTGGGATTGGGCCCTACGATGAGCTCCCTGCTCAGTGATAATTCTGCTTCTCCTTCTCTCTCTGCCTTTGCCCCTCCCTCCTGCTCTTGATTTCTCTCTCTCTCTAATAAAATCCTTTAAAAAAAATCAAATATGAGATCTTAGACCATAACAAAAATATTAATTCTTAATCTAGGGATCCCCGGGTGGCGCAGTGGTTTAGCGCCTGCCTTTGGCCCAGGGCGCGATCCTGGAGACCCGGGATCGAATCCCACGTCGGGCTCCCGGTGCATGGAGCCTGCTTCTCCCTCTGCCTGTGTCTCTGCCTCTCTCTCTCTGTGTGTGTGTGTGTGTGACTATCATAAATAAATAAAAATAAAAATAAATCTTAATCTAATTAAATATAAAAACAATCATCTAGAATTGAAATGGTACATATTTGCTATCTGT